AAATCACCTTGCCTTGCCGTCTTACAACATTACAGGATTTTTCTCCATATAATGGACTTCATTGGGTGCCAAACGGTTCTATGTCCAAATGAGAGTTTCATTGCAGCTTCAAAGGGCTTTAACGACACCAGATGAGATGATGAATAAGGTCTAGATCTAGCGAAACAATCGGAAACGACAAGTTTTATAAGCACAAATGATCGCCTTGCTCTGTTCTGTCATGCGCGTTCGTGACTCTCCTGTTCGAACTCGTTCGTCATCAAAATTAACGAATCTTTTTTTGAGTCATTTTGTTTGTTGAATGAACGAAATGACTCGAAAAAAGATAAGTTCATTTTGACGAACCGTTTGGCACCCAATGAAGTCCATTCTATAGAGAAAAATCCTGGAATGTTTTCATCAAAAACCTTCATTTCTTTTCGACTGAAGAAAGAAAGACATGGACATCTTGTATGGCATGGGGGTGAGTAAATTATTAGCAAAAGTTTTTTTTAAAAGTTAACTACTACTTTAAAGGGTTAGTTCACTCAAAAATGAAAATTCTGTCATTAATTACACACCCTCATGTCGTTCCAGACCTTCATTCACCTTCGGAACACAAGTGAAGATATTTTTTGAATGATGGAAGAGAAGAGATCGTTGAATAAAGTCATTATTTTAGGGTTTTCTTTGCGCACAAAAAGTATTCTCATCGCTTCATAACATTAAGGTTGGACTACTGTAGTCACATGGACTATTTTAACAATGTTTTTACCACCTTTCTGGGCCTTGAAAGTTGCAATGACATTGCTGTCAATGGAGGGACAGAAAGCTCTCAGATTTCGGAGTAGGGTGAGTAATTAATGACAGAATTTTCATTGTGTGAACTAACTAGGGGAAAAAATGCAAAGTCTTGATGTGTGCTTTTCAAAAGTTGAACATGTTACTGCTTTTTAGCGCCAGTTGCGCCAACCCACCGAATTATGTGACCATAGTAAGCACTATATTGCACTAATCTGTCCGGCTCCTAATCCCAATCCTAATCCTAACCATACCATCACTACAGTGCCTACTAGAGTCACACAATTCGATGGGTCACACATTTCGGCACTACACCGGTTCACAAAGAACGTGTTTTTTCAGTTAAAATCACAAGACTCAGGTCAGTGAAATGATAAAAGCCAAGGTCTAGAGAGATAGTTTTTAAGAGTTGAATTTATTTTAACTTGAGCACTGTATTTTTAGGAAGATGCATCATACTCGAGTGCAGTAGAATTAAAAAAAAGTGTTTGTTTGAATGGTCCTTTTGAACGTGTGCCCCATAGGGTTTTCCTTACTCCACTGGATACTCCACTTTTTTGGGAAATAGGCTGATTTTACAACTCCCCCAGAGTTAAACAGTTGGGTTTTACCATTTTCGAATCCATTCTTTAACTTAAGTCAATGGGACCAGAAACTGTCTGGTTACTGATATTCTTCTAAATATCAGAACATCGTCTGAATGGATTCGAAAATGGTAAAACTCAACTGTTTAACTCTAAGGAAGTTGTAAAATGAGCCTATTTCCAAAAAAAAAAGTGGAGTATCCCTTTAATAATATAACCAGTTGTATTTAATTAATCATCCATCTTTCTACTTGTCACTTTTATGAAAATCTGAGTTTGAGGTTATGAGTTTGAAACTCTGTAAAGAGTTTACCCTAGTCTTTCCTGTGTTTTTAATGCTGCTAATCTGTGTCTTTGTAAGTGGATCCACTGGCACACATCGTCTAAACCCCTTAAACTCTACAGACAGGTTCTAAACCTCCAAAGCTTGACTGTTGCTGGGCACTAAGACAAATTAATGGGTTTGCATCCAATTACACCTATGTAAATAAACATCTGAATGGGAAAATTCCAGATGCATCCACCACTTTGTTGTCTCTTCAAAGCTGTAGAGTGGGTAAAGCTGAAACGCAATTTTAGCAGGAGATGAAAACTCAGCTCTCATTACGGACTGAGCCGGAGTTATGAGGTGGGGATGGTGTGTGTTTGGGGTTTTTGAGGGGGCATTGCACCGGGGCGGTGGTTTTCGGGGAGGGGGTCACACACAACCAGCGTCTTTGTGTAGCTCTAATCCTCCCAGCCAACACAGCTTTGGCCAGGTTTCATCATGAAAGTGCCATGAAATAACTACTTTTTTTTCTTAGCAGCAAATCTCCACTAATCCCGCAGGCTGAAGAGACAAAGGCTTCTGGGCTCTGAGCTCCAAGCTTTTAATGGGGTTCAGAGGCTGCTCAGCTAAGGTTCTTCTAAATGACTTATTTTGAGAGGACACTAATACAGCTTGACAGGCAAGAACATCGCAAAAGGAGAAAAAAGCAGAGCCTTGAACACAGGGAGAAAAACTTCAGCACAATTCCACGATAGTTTGAAACGTCAGTCAGGTGTGAAAATATCAGAAAAGTGGAAAGTGTTGGTCTAGGTGAGCTGTTGCCATTTGACGGCTCAAAAAAGATATCAGAAAGACTTGCAATGATATAAAGCATTAAATCTACAAGCTGTAAAAGCATTTTCAATTGGCTTTTGCCCACCAACAAATATTTCTTTTTAAGCACTTTTTTTTTCCCGTCTACAAACTAATTTCACAGTTTTTAGACCTCATGAATTAAGTATTACTATATAGAAACTGTATAGAAACTTTCCTGTATTAAAATGTGCAGTCTGGCTTAAAACATACGTATACAAATCTCCACATTTAATTGTAATAAAAGTAAATTCATCAATAGTTTGACATGTTTGGTTATATGAAGGCTGGTTGTTTTATAGATTGATTATTGGTTGTTGTATAATTACAGGAGACTGATTTGACTTTGTAAGAAAGACAGATATTGTACAATGTAAAAACAAACTATTATTTTTACAAAGGCCAAAATAAGCAAATATGAACAGCCATTTACAATGTAAAAAAAATAAAAAGTGCTATAAAGTCATGGAATATAGCTAATGTTTTTTGTAACTGGTATGTTTATGCATAAAGTAGCCTAATCATTTTTTATGCATAAAGTAGCCGAATAATTTTTAAAAAATCGAACAACATTGATCATATTCAATATCTCTGTTACAGAAGAGAAGATAAGTAGATAAGTAGCCTATCCTTAACTGAACAAAGCTGTTAAAGCTCTCTGTTAAACAAAAAAAAAGCAAAAAAAAACATAATAGGAAACCAGTTAGAAGTTTAATAAAAATGTATAAACATTTTAAGTCGGTAAGATTTTAAAATGTTGAAAGTCTCTTTTGCCCCAAAAGGCTGCATCTATATAATCAAAAATATAGTAACAAAAAAATACAGTAATATTGTGAAATAGTACTATTGTTTTTTTCTGCATTAAAATATTAAAAAAATTTATTTATTCTTGAGATGGTCAGACTTTAGTGTCACATGATCCTTTAGAAATAATTCTAATACGCTGATTTGGTGCTCTTATTATTATCAATGTTGAAAAATTTTTGTAGAAACCGTGATACACTTTTTTTTTCCAGGATTCTTTGAGTTCGAAATCTTCTGTAACATTAAGAATGTCTTAGTCTCGCGTAGCCAGACCTTCAGACTGACGTGACGTCTGAGGCTGAGACTAAGAATGTCTTTACTGTCACTTTAATCAATTAATAATTGTTTTTTTTTAAACCTTACTGCTAATGCATTTTTTACAGTATAGGTTATGAAATGTATTAAACATCCAAAAGTAGAATTAAACGAATAATCAAAGTGTTCATTAATATTCCCATAGACTTCTGCAAAGATGTAGGCTAGATCTTTACAAAAAATCTTATTGTGTAAATCTGCCTTTCTATTAAAGACCAGAATTCCATGACTGTCTGAATACAAACAAACAATCCTTTCCAGCAGGAAAGTGGATATAAAATTGAGAGAGAGAGAGAGAGAGAGAGAGAGAGAGAGAGAGAGAGAGAGAGAGAGAGAGAGAGAGAGAGAGAGAGAGAGAGAGAGTGTGTGTGTGTGTGTGTGTGTGTGTGTGAGAGTGAGAGAGTGTGAGAGTCTCATGCCAGTTTAGCCCAGCTCCTGCTTGGCTGCTGTACTGGTTCTTGTATTGCCCTCTTGGAGACACACACACACACACACACCGCGGAGTGTGCAACTGCCCTGATACTCGTGGGAAACATAATCTAGCTCTCCACATGCCTCGCCTTCCTGGCCCTGAGCTGCACAGTGTCAGGATTTAGCGGAATTTACATCTCTGAACCTCCTGAGCCGCTCCCAGCCGCTTGGCTGCAGTTTTACTAAGGATGATCTGATCTGAGGTTTCAGCTGGAGCTAAACTGCTGCTTGAGCTCAATGAGAGAGGGTGTTGAGAGATGGGATAATGACAAGGAGTGAGATTCAGATTGGTTGATATGTTTGCTTCATGACTGTATTGTTGATTTATTCCATCATTGGGTTTGACACCACAGACTGCAGACGTTCTTTATCCCATGTGTCTTTCATTTTATTCATTTTCAGATGCTAATAGCCTTAAATCCTCCCTTTTTTGAGAGAGGATTTGATTAGAAGGAAAGATTTGTGGAACATTTAGCCCTAAGAAATTACCCTAATAGGCCACTTCCAGAGTGCATTCTCAAGTTGACATTTTCTGGGCAAAATATGGGTCCAGTTAGCAAAACAAACCAGCCAAGCAAACACCCCCCCTGGAGTTAATACTAACAAAAGCTGGGGAATGGCAGAGAAAGAAGGAAGAGAACAACGGACAATCAAAGGCTGTTATTTTAATCTGCCCAACCCCAGAGATTAGCCGACCACATTGTTTTAATTGTTTTAAAGGGGGGAGCGCTCATTGAAGGGGGATGCTTTGCCTAAATCTCCCAAGTTCAATAGTTTCAAAAACTTGAGCCCCCAAAACCCCCCTTTCTGTCCCTCATCCCACTTAATCCAGGCTAATACCTTTCTTTCTATTGGCTAATGGTTGAAGAAAGCTGAAGTTAATGCCTCTTAAATAGTGGAAACTGAGCTGGAGAGAACCTAAACCGTAGTCAACGTGGAGCATTACAGGTCTGCTTTACCAAAAGAAACTTCATTGTAAAATTTCGAGGGATTTTACCAGCTCATGTGAAATGTTTCCTTGGGATTTTAAAATCGTATGAGGAAAACAAACAGTGGTTACGCGTACTTTTACAGGGTAAATGTTCGTTTTTGCAACTGATCATTCCACAGTTCATTGGAAGTTGTAGGTAAGTGTTCATCGTTTTTGTTTCTATTAGCTATGTTTTTTTCTACCAGTTCCATATCACATTTTAGGTGATATTTTTTTAGTTTAAGCGATACTTACATATTTTATCCTCTCAGCCAGAGCCAGCAGAATGAATTCTGTGTATTTCTGTGGACCAAGAAACGGCCAGGGGCCTTTTCCATTGCAACGCGTCAACTCGTTATTCCACGAGGCTCACCAGCAGATGGCGCCGCCGCTTCAGCTTCATTCAGCGGCCAGCCCGGCGTCCATGCAGACTTTCACGGTGGCCGAGCGCCTGGCTGGTGAGAAGCATAGCCGCTTGGACTTTAGAGACCCGGTACCGGAATATAAATGAAGTGCAGAGCAAATGCAGCATTTGTAAAATTGTAACTTCTAATTCGTTGAGCTTTTAAGTAGGCTATACACCCTTAACCTTTACACTAGTGTTCTAGCTCTGTAGGCTAGTTGATTAAAAATGAATTATGTAGGCCTATATGTGTTGGTTAAATGTCTAATAATTTGATTATATTTACGAATAGCCTACATTTCATATAAATAGAATTAAGTTGATATATAAAAAAAGAATAGTCTTTATTATTTTTTCTTCTTTAAAAAAAAATATATATATATATTGTTCATAATTTTATTTAGTATCCAGCGAGGTTAGGACGTCTGAAAATGCTTTTAATTTGCTTGTTTGCAATTCAGATGTTGATTTATAAAAATTGACCTAAAAATAGTGCAGAAAGTTCATTAATATAGCTTATTTTTTAATTTTAAAACGTTGCTTATTTCCATATTCTGAATCCACTCTTTTATGTGGACTTACACATTTGAGTCCTAGTGTGTTAGACAAGCATCATCATTAAGTATCATGAAATGAATTGAAAACAACTAATAGCCTTGATATCATCTTCATTTAGAACTCATTCTTGAGGCGCGCTACGGGAACCAGCAAAAGCAGCGTCGCAGTCGCACGGCCTTCAATGTGTCCCAGTTACAAGCACTCGAAAAGGCCTTTCAGCAAACCCAATATCCAGATGTGGGCATGAGAGAGAGACTAGCAGTCTGCATCAACCTCCCAGAGGCCCGTATTCAGGTGAGAGACCCATGAACATCCAGTGTTCAACAAGCAGAACACATCTAAATATTACAATACATTTAGAGTATAAAGGTTGTTTATTGACACTGATGGCTCCATCACAAACCTTTAACATCAATGAATTGTACTTTTTTTAAGTTGCATTAACTTGCGTTAAAAAATGAGTTGAATCTTGGATAACATAAAAAAAAAACGTAACTTTTTTGATGAGTTTATCATATGATTTTATTTTTTTACAGTGTGGAAGCTTAATTACACAAACGTTTCAAAATGTTCCTTACACTTTTTTCTTTCCAAAAAAGGTTTTTCATACTGCGAAACCCCCATTTTGGAAACTCTCTTTCCAAGAGTGCAGGTTAAATGTGCTTAAAACATCTTTGATTAACAAAACATATGTCTTCAGGTGTGGTTCAAAAACAGACGTGCCAAATTTAGAAAAGGTCAACGCTTCACACCCCTTCCCAAAGAAGAAAGCAGAGGTGCTACTAAACAACGTAAAGAAGGGGCGAAGGACCAAGAGAAAGGCTTTAATTCAAAATCTCAACCCTCAATTAGGGAAAACAAGACCATTTCTTCCTCACCGGACTCTATTCACCTTCATTCCCACCCAAGACTACACTCCTCTGCTGTTCTTCCATTCATTACTGGAGAACACTACCAACAACCAATGCCTCATGCACTTGGGCTGCTGTCTGCAGGTCTGCCTTTCTCTCCTACATATTTACCGATAATGCAACAGCAGCACGGCACGGCCATCAATCTTGTGCCATTGGGGAAATGCAGCAATCTCATGCTTCAGTCTGCCTGTCAATCTAAATCTGTGGTCCACCACCACCTGGACATGTAGCCGTATCATCAACCAATAAGCCACAGTCACCGTGAAGAGGGAACAGGTGTTCCTGTGTCACCACAACATTGTAACTTTTACTCTGAGAATAATGGAAAGGTTTGGATGTGGTTCTTTTCATTGGTTTTGATTGTATTTGTACAAACTGGCTTATTTTGCCAACTTTCATGCTCCGTTTTGCATTCCTTAGAGCATTAAGAAAACGATTGTGTTGCACACACACATTTGAGCACTTTGTAGATTTTTATAAACTTTTGATAATTTTTAATACAAATAAACATAAAAAACACTCGAATCAGTAATAGTCTGCTGTGTAGTTTCTGGGATTGCACACTTGGTTGTCATAACTTTTGTCCATGCAATAAATGATTTTGCCAAATGTGGATCATTCTGAGCATTAACAATGAAAAGGTTACATTTACTTTTTTTTTCTCCATGTTGTAAATATATAACCATGATTAATCCTTTTTTAATGAATGAAAGCCACAGTTACCAATCACTGAACTGTATACAAAACAATATTATGTTAATATGAATATGGTCATATTTGGATTAAGAAATCATGCAAAATGGTTTGCTGTAACTAGCTTAAGCCAACAGTCTGGTTTCTATAAATTGGAATAAGATTGCTGGCATATGCCTGTATAGACTAATCTTATTTGACAAATTCACCAAATTCAACTGAATATTCATAAACATATGTGCATGTCCAGTACAAATGTTTTTCTGGGTGATATTAGATACACAGGCAGTTGTGAAAAGTCATTAAAAGCACCAACATTATGCTATATGTCACAACCTGTGTGCTATTGTAAGGATATGAATGATAATTATAGTTGAAGTTTAATAAATACAATTTATTTATTAAACTTCAACTGTAATTCTCATTTAAGAGTGAGCAGTTCTATACTTCCAGAAAATAAAAACAGGAAATGTCCATGTTCATAGGTTATGCAGAATATGTTGATTATGTTCACGTCTTATAAAAGTGTGTATATATATATATATATATACACACTTTTATAAGACGTGAACATAATATATATATATATATATATATATATTTATATATTATAAATAAAATGTTTTATACTGTATATAGTATTATTATTTATTAAACAAAACATTATACCCTATACAAACATATTATTCAGAATAAAGGCACATATAAAATGTTATGGGGAAAAGAGATTATATAGAGCATTTTCTCTATAAAAACAAATGGTTCTGTTATCCAGTAAAGAAAAAACTAAATTTTCCTCCCTGCCATTTTTTGGCACTAGACTTAACACAAAAACCTATTTTTTTCACAGACTTGTCATCCCTCTAACTTTCCCCATACATTTTCCAAACACCAGACATTTACACATATTAGGCTAATTAAATTTATATGTGTAATATGTCATGACTCCAATATTTTGTAGCCTATACAACCCTTCAACTGTTGATCCAGGCAAAACATTTGAGTTTTTTCTCCAGGTGGGGACGGTAAAAACGCTGTTGCGCGCCACAGCACAGGCGCACATTCACCAATCAATCTACGCACTTTTGAGAACGTATCCACAGCAATGGGAGTGTCGGGTGACGCCGGAGCTTCGCTCACCGAAACGGTAGGCTTAAAGAGACAACAGCGAAGCCGGGCTAGTCTTTAGTGGGGAATTAAATCACTTTCCAAAGCATAAATAAAGGACCATGTCGCGGCATACTACATAGGGGACTCACAAGCAGGTAAAAACATCTTTATGTTTCCTCAGGAGAAACATTCCGTCCTCGTTTTAATCGAAAGACTGAAAGGTTCGCTGCTAGACGGCTAATGTGATGTTAGCTAAGTGGGTTGCTAAGCTAGTTCATTTGTGGAGGATTATTATCATGTTTGTCAAACAAGCCTTGGAGTTGTTTAGCTGGTTTGTCGGTATTTCCTAACCTTTTCGATTATGAAAAGGAATATATTTAGCTTTAGATGTGAAATTAAATCCATTTCGACGTGTATTTAGTTCATATTTGACGACTCAGCTAGACAGCCACTAATTTTAAGGACGTTTTTAAGCCACTAGCCAAGAAGGGGCTGAAAGAAAATATTCCGAATGCCTTTAAAGACATATTTGATGTTTAAAGACCTGTTTAAGTATGTAATCTTTGCTAGGCCATGATAGGAAGCTTTCTACACTTCATCATGAAAGAAAACAATAACGTTATATGGACGGATGCTACACTTACAAGGCCAGGATTGGTATAAATATATTTGTATTTTACATTTTAGACTTTGTACATCTGATTTGGAAATCTCTTCTGTCAGGGCATCATCTGTGCATGTTGAACACATAAAGGTAGTGAGATCTCGTGGATGTGAGGTTTAATTTTTTGATAGGTAATACATGATTTATGATATTTCTACAGATATTACTACATTTTAAAATAATTGTTCGCCAATTTTGTTCAGTTATCGGGCTGGAAATCTGTCATAGCAAAATAGAGGAGTGTTAAACTGTATCTCCCAGTTTCACATAGATCCTTAACAGTATGGAAAATCAGACTGTGTTTAAGGAAGTTAATGACCAGGGAGCTCTCTTTCTCACTCTTTGTCTCTCAAGCCCAAATGAACACCACACAAGGCCTTATACATCAACACAAAAGCAGATTTATGGCACCAGCTTCTCTCTTTTGCCCATCTGAGAAAGTAGAAGTAGATGTCTCGGTTTTTACGCAGCCTCTAACACTTGCATGTTTCCTGTTTGAAAGCTAAAACACAGTTGAACTGTGCTGCCTATGCTATGCTGAAACCTGGTTTGTTTGGTATTTTTTTTTTTTTTTTTGATATTTTTATCAGATAAGCAGAAATAAGTCGTTAGCTGGCTTGTGTTTTCTTGTAGGCAGAGCAACTCAAAACAGCTATGAACACTAACTTGGCAACCATTATTAGTCAGGCAGTCTTAATTCCAGATTATGCGGCATTACAGTAATCATTTTGGCTTTATCTGATGCACTTTTGTATCAGGTGTTTTTTATGATGATGTTCCTGTGTTATTTGTGAGATTCATCTGTTAATCTGTTATAAATCTATTTTTTTTTTCCATTTTTCACTCACATCTGCAATGTGTTTCTTTGTTAAACTTCCTTCAAGCATTGATAAATTGTTTCTAATCTAAGTATTAGATGGAAACATGCCCCATAATCAGTACTTCAACACTAGTACTTGTCCACAGATCTTGTAATTACATCTGATCCCTATCGGACTGTTGTGATCCCTAACTGACTTGTGGCATGGTTTTCCATTTCGCCCTTGTAGAGCTTGTAATCAGCATTTTTTATGGTACCGTGTGGGGTAGTGACCAGCAGACCATCGAAAGACATGATAGACTGCCAATCTTGATCCGGCTGAATGCATTATGTGCCACGGTGTATGACTAAACAAGGCTGTTGCTTGCTTAACTTGAGGTTATTCATATTTTCAGGCTATAGTTTAAGAACAGTAGGCAGGCCTATATGTCATTAATTTCCTGCTTTTTAAATGCCTTACACAACCCTCTGTTTATTAGTCACCTTTATATGGCTTCTACAGTGGGCCAAGTGTTTGCTATAATGATTGATTTCATATTGAGAATTGATGAATACAAATTGAGTCCCTTTCATAAAGCGGTGTCCAGCACCCCCTTTAACCGTTACAATAGCTAAGCCGGCATGATTGATTGGAGATGCATTTATTTTGCTGAATGACGGGGCATAATTTTTCATAATTCTTTTTTGCTCAGGCTAAAGTATTATTATTTCCTCAGACTAGAAAAACGAGCCGTGCATTAATAATCTAATGCATTGAAGCTCTGATGCATTTGCCACTTGCTGAAAAAACAGTGCCTTGGATGTTGAAATTAAGTAGTGAAAATCCCTCCCAAGTGTGAAAGATGTGTTGTTTTTTTGCTGAGCTGATTGTGTATTGCTCATCAGCTCTGGTCTGGTATCCTTTTACAGCCAGTCAGGCAGCCATTGATCTTTTTAAGTGCATTTTCTGAAGGAAAGCATGACAGTCTTTCCAATAGTTCTTGCATTACCTGCTCCGAGTTTCTTTTCCATTTACATTAACAGCAGTGCTGACCCTGGATGGGAAGAGGGGGTTGGTGTACAGCAGAGATCTCTGACCTTCTACACCGCTTCCCCTCTCCATTATCAATCACACAGGTGTCGTCAAAATTCCTGTTGGAATTGGAAACTGATACAGGCACTGTTAGGCTTGTAATTCTCAACCGTTCTGTTCTCCACACCTTGAAAAAAAATTCCCATGCTTTGGAGGCAGACCAGCAAAATCTGTTGGTGTAGTGTCATAAACTCTCTTGCTCTTGTTTCTTAGATTGCCAAAACTGTGACTGTGTGGGATTCTTTTATTTTTCTTTCTCTAAATTAACATCCATTTGTTTCTGTTCATCCAGTCTAGCATGCAATACTTTGTCTCTTGCTGTTATTGATTAGGTTTATTGGACCTTGAGGTAATCTGAAAATGGATTCCATGCACACCGAGGATCAGGATTATTGTCTGCGCTTTATAATATCCTGTCTTGCCTCTGTCCATCATCATGTTTCATGTTTATTTTTATAACAGAGGACTCGCTTTAAAAAAAAAAAAAAAGGAATTTCTATCAAAATATTAAACTTAAAGATTTTGTAGACTTGTAATGTTGTAAGACGTTTAATTGTATAATTTTTTTTATTTATCTTGCCATGAATATAGCCTTTGATGCTGATATGGCATATTATTATTATTATTATATATTATGTTGTTATTTCCCCCCATGAATAAGCTTACAGGTCTACTGGCCACAGACTCGCTTTAGAATTTAAACTGCACCATTTTTATATTTTTTATGTTTAATTGTGTATTTTATTTGTTTTTTTCCCCCCATGAATATAGCATTTGATGCTGATACGGGAAAAAAATGTATTAATGAGTTAATTAAAAATGCATGGTCATTCAAATTTAACATATAGTAGGATAAAAACATGAAATAATGCTCTGGGATGGCTCTGTTTGAAGTTTAATGACTGATATATCAAGAATGTGCATGATTGATTGATTAATTTATTGATATTAATTTGTACTCTACTTCTCTTTTCAATGTCTTTCAGGCATCCAGAGAAAGTCGGACTAAACTGCTCGAACCTGTTACCCCTGGTTCTGTCTGAGTCTGCTCACAGCAGTGTTAGAACATGAAGAATGTTCCCAGTATTATCCAAGACTGACTTCAAGGAAACCATGAGGAGCACAAGGGGACGTTCACTTGTTTGGTGCCACTAGCAGGAATAGTGTATGTCAGTGTTGAGGAGCGTGTGTGGGTGGATGTGTGAGTGCGTGCATGTGCGTCTGTATGTGTGCGTATGCTAGCATAACCTGCCTGCTTCAGGCAGTGACATGCTACTCTAAGGACAACTGCACAGTAAAGGATTCCCATCCACCGAAGGATTAATGCAAGGACGGCGCTATCGGTGATACCCACCACGTCTGCAGAA